CCACCCCCCCCCCCGATAGAGCTCATCTCAAGGAAAGACGTTTATAAGGGTAATGAGAACCTTATATAGAAATAGCCGAGTTCAATATCCTCCTCAATAAATTGGAAATCCAGTAACATTAGTAACACTTTCTGTTCAAATGGTGGTTGTTAAAATGGAGTGTTTGGTCTGTCATTGAAGTCGAAAGATGTAAGAATGAGAAGAAAGGGATTCTCTGAACTCCAACTGAGCAGACGATTCTTCTGACTACTTTTCTGTGGGACCACCTCCTTGTGATTTCCGAGTGAAAATCAGCAAAATTTCTCTGGTTGAGGACACAAAAACATAGGCGGATCCAGTATCTTACTTTCGTACACTGCAATGACAACCCGAAGTTCTACCAGCCTGTCATTGTGCACCTGTGTCGGGTAGATTCTGGACACGCGAAAGAAGTGAGTAAAAGAGTTCGCCTTTCATTTGGAGGCACAGAAGTTGGACGAACCGCTATCCCGAACATGAGACTAAAAATCAGCTTGACATTGATAGACCGGTTCCGGGTAGAGATGGAGAAAGAACGGTTGTGGCCCTTTCAGGGGACAAAAGTCGGTTGTATTACTTTAAGTCAGGCATCAATTAAAGGACCACTTTCTTCCCCCCGCCAACCCCAACCCCACCCAACCCCACCTCCCCCTTGTCCCTCATGCAGACACACGTGACCATCAGAAGTTAAATAAGTAAAATTCAATTGAAAAGTTCCCTTTTCCGAGTAATTAGCAAAATGATCGCAGTAACTACCGAACGTATTTTACCGAGTTATATCCCAATCCTGCAAGAATCAGGACATCACCCCTTTCGGCTCATCTTTTTCAATTGAGTAAACTGAATTCTCGGTCATATCACTTTGGTTCATTTCCGAATTGAAGTAGATAGGTGGTAGATAGATAGATCATACAGGTTGTGATCTCAAGGTGATGTAGTGGGGAGTTCGGGGGGGGGGGGGGGGAGGGTTATTGCTCTAAGTAGTGACAACTGGGCCGGTAAGATGAAACCGGGCATTAGAAAGTATTTTAAGCAAAATATTCTCTTTGTTTGTTCCCGATTTGATCTTTAAAGCATGCAGAAAAGCTTTATTTAAAAATTACGTGCAAAGTTTAATTATACATATTTAATCATGTCACTATTCTTCACTAAAAAAATAGAAATTACAATCAAAAGAAATTACTTTTACTTACTTACTTAATTACTTGCGTCAAAATGGAAGGGGAATTGGCATGGCAGGTTCTTCCTCGACAGGGTTCACGTTGAAGCGCCATTGAACGCAGTTACCAAGGCTAAATTGAGATGAGGCAATTTCAATGATGATATGGACCCAATCACTTTTTAAAACTAAGCCAAGTAGACGAAATGAAACATACATTGTCATTTCTCAAGGTCCTCTGCGACCTCTTTCATTGGCTTATTGGGACCTTGGGACCTTGCACTTTCTTAGTGTTTGCGTCAAACGAGAGTCGTGTCAGTACATTCAAGTTCTGTTACAACTACCCCCCCCCCTCTCTCGCCTTGACTTCAAAATCCCAACAATGAATCCGACCTTGGCAGAATGCACGCAGGCAGTCCTAAGAGCTAGGGCGTTGTTATTTGGCCTCATGAGAGAGCTCATTTCCACCGTCTGTCTCTAAGTGGCCCATCGGCCTCATCAACACCCCGGACGCACATCGTTAAAGAACACTTGACAGGCGTTTGAGACAGAAGTCTTATATCAGTCTAGACATCATTTGATTATCAAAACACCACCAATATGAAAGCGACTGGTATTCACATGTTACACCGTTGCTTTGTCAATAAACTGTCTGGAAGCAACTGCATCCAGTCTCAACTCTCAAAGCCTAAAGAGATCTAACAGCCAGATATCAAGGAGTCTCGCTTTACAAAACCCCTCTTCCGCCATTTTAACCAGTACGGACGGTGTTAGCAATTGAACTCCATAAATGACACATGTTTTAGTTTAAGCCAAATCGGCCCACTACCCTGTCCTAAACTCCAGTGGCACCAGCTGGAAGTAAAAATGTGGCACACCACTATCACAAATCCAATTATATAATAAGGCAGGTGGTGGAATCAGTCGTCCAGCCGGTAGATGCGGCATTGATTATGTGATGAAAACGATAACTGCAAAATATCCCCTCGCAGACTTCATTTGGAAGGAAAATCTGATGTCCTGATGACTTCATTTGGAAGTGGAGTTCTCTTGATCCCCAGTCTCGTTCCGGACATATCCTCCCTCTCCCTCTCTCTGGGTGACCTCCATTCGCTCATACTTTGCCGCCATTTCATTGATTTTTTTTCGCTGTGACGGAGGAAATGATTTCAATTTTTCCTGTTTTACCAGTTTGGACCATTTCAGTCATGCGCGTTGGTTACTGTGCCAATTAAAACTACCCTGACAAATAGATTTCTTCCACAAACACTTGGATAAAGTACAATTTTGGGAGTGGATTCATCTTACTAATTGTTGAATTTGCATTTTACACACTTTTACGGGAAATAACGCGCGAAATACGCGTTGACAATACAACGACTTTATGAAAGACAAAATTATACTTGACATTTTGGCACATATTTCTTTCAAATTTCTACTTGAAACAAAGACTAAAATATATTGGAAAAAAAGTATTCAAATATAGATTTCTAAGGTTAATTGCGATTTAACTAGCATAGTTATTGTAGTATTAAAATGTAAATAAGGTGAACGCGCAAAGATAATGAGTTTTAGGAATTAAGCGTTGCAAAGAGGTCCCGTATGCCCTCCGCTTGTAATAAACAAGGTATTTGCTGACATTTGTATGTATTTTGTAACATTTAGGTACAGAGGGCAAATGTCCTTTGTGTAAGTGATTAAACAAACAGAGAACAAAGTCTAAAATGCCCCCTCGTGTTTCTCGGATAAAATTGTAACCTTTAATTCCACTTATCCGATGGTGCTTGTATCGTTTTGGAACAATTGGGTGATTGTTAATTTGCAGGAATATAGTTGCAGACTTTAGCAAAGCCAAATGAACCAGCGAGTTATTGAAAAGCTCTTGTAATTCCCGTTTGGTCATTGGAGGCTCTGCGGGCTGTACCTCATACTCATCTTCACAGTGGTGACAGGGTAGGTAGGTTGTCATTTCGAGATCTTTCTTGAAAGCAGAGAGCGAGAGGGAGAGAGAGAGGGGTGAGAGAGGGACTTTGCAAATGGAAGGTGATTGTGCAAGAAAGTCCCTGAACGATGGAATCAGGGCATGTAAGTTAAAACGTGACAAAAGTGATAGACTGAGAGTTTCTTTGAGCTTTGTAGACGAGGACCTTTAACGTAGCTCTGTGGGAAAGTCAGCCAACTTCTATCAAGAGATTTGACTCGGAGTGTAAGAATACGTTGCTAACTCGAATAATTTGGAAATAGAGGTGAAAGTATTGAATCGATTCAAATGATTTTAACATTCCACAGGTATCTCAAAGTCACCTGCCATACTTTTCAATTCGCAGGTGCAACAAAACTTTTGGCAACAAGGCGCTTAAATTGAATTAAATCTGGCAATTAATTCGACTCGCGGATGATTTCCGAGACCGGTCATTATTAAACCGTAATGGGGGTAATTACAATCTCCCTACTCACTTCATGTTTAAGTCAGCTGTAGTCTGTCGATGGGGGGTGGGAGGTGGAGGTAGGAAGTCAGGGCAAACACCTTCAAATCGTTAAACAAACTCGTGCCAAAATCGCACCATGGACGAAAAGCCGACATTAAAAGCTGGAAGGCTTTGTCTTCATGCGCGGCTAAATAACCTTTCTCTATTAATGACTATTAAATAAGAACAATTAGGCAATTCCAATTAAGTCAGTATTCATGAAACGTGTCTTTGATAAGTTATTTCGAATTAACGTTGATCTGTACATTTCTCTCTTGAAATTTAAAGGCCAACCAAATGCATGATTTAGTGCTACGTGTGCAATTCTGACAATATGTTGACACTTTTCAAGGATCTATGAAATTACGTTGCTACTATTAAAACATAAGTAGAAAGACTGGTGATAATAAATCAAAATATTGTAGCACATCAATGGAAATTCAAGGTTGAATTCTGATTGTCTGGAGTCTCAACACCGGACACCTCAGGATAAACTCTCTTTGAACTACAGCGACTTGATGTACTTGCCTTTCTCCAACCACCAAGTAAGCCTATCCAATCATTTATTTTATTTATTTTAAATGGTAGGCGTTATGCTAGGTATCATTAGCCCTTTAGTTGACTTCGTGCTTCACAGAAAGGAAGAGGAACACCAAAGTGGCAAAAAGTCGAGATGGGGACAGAATAATGATTCACAGACGTGAAAGAGACAGACAGACACAAAGGTAGAAAAAAGGTGAGTACTGTGGAGTTAGTCGAATATGAAATGCGGTGGGGTCTTGGCAGTTTGAAGTCAGAAGTCAACTGCCGATTAATAGACTTTTTTGCCGTATGAGTATACGTTGCCCAGAGTGCACCATGTGGAGGTAAGTCTCTCGCACACCCCGCCTATCCAATCATCTTTGGTTGACAAATTACTCTGATAAGACCCAGTCCCCTGTGATTTTCATGAACTACAAGCATAATTTGTCAAAAAAGATTTCAATGCAGTCACCTTAATTGGTTGTCGTCAATTTACAAAATAGTATTTGAAAACATTCTTATTCGGCCTTGAAAGGATCATATGATTTATCTGAGGGAATTNGGAAGTAGTCGAATATGACATACAATGGGGTGAGGGTAGTTTGAAGTGAGAAGTCAACTGCCAGTTAATAGACTTTTTTTGCCGTATGAATATACGTTGCCCAGGATGCATGACGTGGAGATAAGTCTATCGCACACCCCATACTTAGAAATATAGATTCAGGTAGTCGGAGAACCCATTATGTCTCTGTTCGATTAGTTGCAGCCCAGCCGGTTTGGATGCCTCCATGTAAAATACTTATTTGTCCGAAAATAATTTGAATTCTGCTATTCCTTCGGTATCAATTATGATGACGATGATGTTTGTGGTGGTGTTCACTCCTTCTACAACTATAATGATGCACATTCGAGGATGCCATCTTGTCATACGGCTCCATCAAGACGTGTGGTTAGCCCTTCTACCGATCTTCGACGACTCAACGAACGACTTCTAAGGCACGCAGAAATTGAACGACATCGAAGACGAAATGCGTCCATCATGCACGAGTTGCTGCGTTTGTGCATAACCGAAGACGACCTCAGAGAATGGACATTATTTCAACAAATACGGCAATATCATATGTTTAATAATAAGCAAATATCTCATGGCAACTAATTTCAATAATTAATAATTGCAATNAATGGAAATTCAAGGTTGAATTCTGATTGTCTGGAGTCTCAACACCGGACACCTCAGGATAAACTCTCTTTGAACTACAGCGACTTGATGTACTTGCCTTTCTCCAACCACCAAGTAAGCCTATCCAATCATTTATTTTATTTATTTTA